TATTATTACTAGCTCTATCTAAATCTCTATTCTAATTATTTCTCTTATATAAATATATTTGAATTAGCCTATTTCTAATTTTAATAATTGGCTTTCTTATTTATTTTCTTTTTAGTTTTACTATTTAATCTTTTATTTTAGCTAAGCTATTTGCTTTTTCTATAGAGAATTCTTTTATTTCTATTAAGCTATTTACTTATTCTATAAATAAGCTTCTTGCTTTACTTATAAGGGCTATTAGTAGACCTTATTATTAGTTCTAAGGAAATCCTTTCCTGCTTTTATTAGTTTAATATATTTCTCTAATAGTTCTAGTATATTCTATTATATCTTTTTCTATAATACTAAGCCTTCTTAAGAGCTTAATACTTTTATTTCTACTATTTTTAGGCTTTAATATATTTTCTGGCTCTAAAATACTTTATAAAATTATAAGTTCTATTTCTAGTAAAGCTATAGAGCTTTCTATTTCCGAGTTATAACCTATTAATATACTTATAGGCTCTTTTAATTATTAGTTTATTTGCTTATTATTTCCTAGTTTAGGTTTATTTTCAATTCGTTTTAATAAACTATTATATTATAATCCCTTATTATTAAAGATTAATTTAGTATCCTAAATCTTATTCTCTAGAAGTAATTCTATTATATCTTTTATAATCTTTATATAATAGCCTTCTATATATTTATACTTCTTTTTATAGAGAATATTCTTATTAAATATAATATTATATATAATAATTATTTAATTAAATATAGGAATCCAGATTTTATAAATATTAGATATAATATATTTAATTAAATATCTAATATACTTATATAATATAATCTTAAATATTTTTTTATTTTATTTTACTTTATAATCTTTAATTATTAAATATGTTTTAGAACTATATATATAGATTCTATTCTAATTAGGCCTAAGATTAACTATTATTTATATTATAAGTTCTGAATTATATTAATAGAAATAATTACGGAATTATAAATCAAGTATTTTATTTAATATTCTCTAGTTATTTATATATAAGAGGCTCCGATTATATAAGTAGATTATAGCTATAGAACTCTCTAGCTATAGCTTTTTAGATAAATTAGTTATTAAGTATATTATAATAGCCTTATTTATAATCTCCTATTTTATTTATTTAATATTACTATTTGGCTTATATATATATAAAAGAGAAAGCTCGATTTCAATATCTTATTTCTTTATCTAGATCTAATAGGCTAATATTTCTTGGATTAGAATAATTACTTTCTTCTAATTATATTTAATATAAATAATTAAAAGATTATATTACCTATATATCTATTATTTAAAATCCCTAATTATATTAAATACTAGTAAACCTTTCTTATTTAGTAAAAGATATCCAAAGAGCTTTTTACTAAATTCGTTTTTAATTATTAGAATCTAGCTTAAACTATTATAGCTATTTAAATAATTAAATAAGTCCTATAAGATTTTCTAAAATAATTAAATAGACTTTCTTTTAATTAGCCTATATAAGATTACTTATCTAATATATACCTAAATATAAAATTCGTATATAATTCTCGTTAGTCTATTAATTTTCATATTATATATATAATTAATAAGCTTTTATAAAGCTTTATAGGCTAAATGCCCTGCTTTTATATATTATTTTTCTTTTGAATTATTTCTTGGCTTGAAATCTTCCCTTAATTTCCTATATTAAGCTCTAATTAAATATTTAAATATTAGAAATATAAATATACTATTAGTATTAGTAGGAATTTCAAATAAAATATTAGAATAAATAGAAAGCGGTTTATATTTAAGAAAAACTAAATTAAACTTATATTCTAATTATATTAATACTATATTCTCTTTATAATCTTCTAGTCTAATTATAAAATTATATCTATAATATTAAGCTTTCTTTTTTACTAGACAAGCTTTAGAAATAATATTTATATAAAATTCTTTAATAATTATAATATTATAAAGAATTAGATTTTTAATATATAATTCTATAAGTCTATTAATTATATTCTTAATTATATAAGTATTATATCTAATAATTAGAAAACTAGTTATTCCTGCTTTTATATAATTATTAATTTTTATTTTAATAAAAATACTAGAATTAATTAGATTCTTATTATTAATTAGATATATAATATTATAGTTATCTAATAAGATATTCTAAAAGAGCAGATATTTTAAGAAATCGAGTATTATATAAATTCCCTAATCTAAACTCTGAATTATAAATATAAGATCTATTAGAATAATATTAAAGTTTCTAGGAAATTGAATTCCGGATATTTTGAGCTTCTTTTTAGAACTAATACTAGATATTAGTTTCTTTATAGCTTATCTACTAGTAATTTTTATATTATATTTCTTTTCTAGTTAAGTTTTCAGATTCTTCTAATATTTAGTTAAAAGCCTTTCCCGGATCTTTCTAATCTATTTCTTATTAGACTTGAATTTTATTCAAGTCTTATTTAATCCGGTAATTATAATTTCTATAGTAATATAGCTAAATAAGTTCTACCGGTATTTGAAGTTCTTAGTACTCTTATAAGAGTACTTATAGTACTTATATTTATCTAAATCGGATTTACTATCTGATTCTTTATTAGTTTAATTCCCGAATATAGTAAAGATTATAGGAGCTCCTAAGTATTTAGTATTCTAGTTTTCTAAAATAATTCAATTAAATACCTGGCTATACTTTTCGAATATAAGAATTAGAAGCCCTAGTTTGTCTTTACTATATAAATTACTGAGCTATTTTATTATCCAGGTTAGTACGAGTTTCTACTAGAAGGCAGTTAAGAACTCGATTATTACTAGAATGCCTTCGATTTCGGCAAGTTTAAGAGTTTTAGTATAGTTAAATACTTTCTCCCAATTAGTAAACTAGTACTTTGGGCTTACTTCTTCTTTACTTGCTTATAGTAGAATCGAACTATATACTTTCCGAGTAATAATAATTTATATTATATCTATAGAACTGTATTTCGTTAATAAAGCCTTAAGAACCTTATAAATAGAGCTCTATTTACTTTCTTTAAGTCCTAAAATAGAGTTTATAAGGATTTCTATATTAATTATTTAATAGAGCCACTGCCTGATTATATAGTAATATACTAGCTTATTTATCTAGTCCAGTTTCTTAATCTTATAGTCTTATAAAAGCACCGAATAATAATCTCTAATATTTTCGAATATTATAGGCTATAGAAATACTGGTTTTAATTCTTTCTTAACTATAAGTCGAGTATTCTTATTCTAATTTTCTGCTTTAATTTAGTATCTAGTATAGTAATCCTCTATTTCCTTTAGTATAAGTTCGTTAATTATAGGAGAAGGCCTAAAAGAAGCTACCATATTCGTTTTAATTACTTTATTATTAAATGAGTTAATCTTATCTCAGATACTCTTATTACTAGCTATTCTATAGAAAGTATTAAATTAGTTTGCCCAGGAACTGCAGTTCTTTAGAATAATAATCTTAATTATAGCTTCTAATATAATTATAATTAAGCTTATAGAAATAGTAGGAATTATAGGAAAAGTTTCTATTAATTAATTAATAACGGAAACTATAAACTAAAGTATAATTTTCGAAGAAATAAATTAAATAAGTTCTTGAATACTCTCTATAATATATTAATTAGGAAGCTTATTAGTATAAGGCCGGGCTTATAACTAATATATATAAAGATTACAGAATAGGAAATTATATTAAATAATAAAAGAGTTTATTAAACTAGCTAGAAAAGAGCTTGAGTAAAGTATAAAGCTTTAGGAAGTAAATATATAGATCCTAACTAAGCAAAGCAATTATACTAGCCCTAATTCAATAATTCTTACTATAATACTTAATAATATACGGTTTTTTCTTATATCTTTAGCTTAATAAATTCCTGTTTTCTTTTATATTAAATTTTATAATATTTGCTTAAGTTCTCTTATAAAGCTTTATAATAAAAGTTATATTTTCTTTTATATTAATTATATAAATAAAGTATTTAATATATAGTTTCCCTAAATATTTAAATAAACTAAAGCTTTATAATTTATTAAAAATATATTTCTTAGTTTAATATAGTATAATAAAGAAATAATATAATAAAAGTAAAGATAAAAAAGAAAACTTAATTATATTAATTAAAAAAAGAAAAATAGAAAAATAGATTTCAAACTTTTATAAAACTATAATTTTACTAGTTTATATATTAATATTATAGAATCTATTTTCTTAATATTATTATTTATTAATAAATTCTTTATAATTATATTATTATATTATTAAAATTAAATTCTTTTATTTTAAAATAATATAACAAATTAAATAAAAATATAATAAAACTTATATAAAAGCCTTTTATTATTAATAAGATATAAAGTAAATATTTAAATAAAGAAATCTTATTATATAATATAACTTTTATATATAAAAAGAATTATTTTAAGTTTATATTTTTACTTTTTTTTAATTTCTTTTATTTTTTTATAATATAAAAATTATTATAATAACTAATATAATTATATAATTTATTAGAAATAAGAATTAGAAAATAAATATAAAATAAAACTAAGCTAGAAAATATAATAAAGTAATATTAAAAATTAAAGTATTATTATATTTTGAATTTAATTAAGCTATTAAAATTAGGTAAAATTGAATTATTTATTATAGTTTTTCTTTTTCATTATAATGAAATAATTTCTTGAATAATAGTATTTAGACTTTTCTTTTAAAAGAAATAATATAATAGCTAGTATAATTATATAATTTACTAGAAATAGAAATCAAGAAACAGGTATAAAATAGAATTAAGCCGGAAGATATAAGTAAAATAATACTAATAGTCGAGGCATTCCTTTCTTCTTTGCTCTCTAGCTTAGTATTTTCAATATATAGATTTATTGAACTTTGAGCCTTTGACTATTGCATTGGCCCCGCTGTCACAGTTGTGGCACTCACCATGAGCCCTTACTACAACAGCATCTGCTCTGCGACTGACCCGACCGATCACACAGGCAAGAATGGTACGGTGGCTTGAAATAACGAATCACACCATATTCAATTGCAGTGTATTAAAATTATTCAAGCGGTCTAAAAAGAATGCGCAGGCTATTCCGCTAAACAGAAGACAACAACTTGATCCTCCTCTCATCCCGGGGTTTTATGTCTAACGGTGTGGGATTCGGCTTCACAATCACAAAAGGACTATAATCCATCCATGGCAATTCAATCTCCAATCCTGTTTTCTCATCAACCTTCTTCTGGATGTTACAGCTCCACAGCATCGTAGCAACGATGGTCACGTGCACTATTTCGCTGTAGTCCAGCCCAAGGCATTGTCGTTTTCCCCACCCAAAGGATGAGTTGTTCTTGAGTTGTGGATGGTGGGTTAGTGGTTCTTTGTATGTCGGGTACAGCGGGTCCAGCCAGCGCTCAGGCCTAAAGTTCTCTGCGTCGGGATATAAAGCTTCGTCTCGTGACATTGCGCTGCGGTATATTAGAACGAAGCATGAAAAGCCAAAAACACACATACCACTCGAGAGCAAACACCACACTTCCTTTCGCGATATGATAGCCCTCATAAATATCATCCTCTGTAAGCATATGAGGGACACCTACGTCAATCAGCAAAGGTCAGACATTTCTTCGTCAGAGAGGGGACCAACCAAACGGCACTGGACTTCTCCATCTAAAAATCTCCCTAATCAAAGCCCTCACGACAGGCAACTTCTGAATATCTTCCGCCATTGGCATCCTGTCCCCACAAACCAAATCCACCTCCTCCTGCCCCCTCTTCTGCCACTCTGGAAACATACACAACGCGACCACCAACCCCTGAATCGGCGAAGATTCCAGCACGCTCGCAATAAGGGTCATCATGCCCACCGTATACGCCTTCTCCTCCTCCTCTAGTGTGCCATCCTTCAACGACTCCCTTGTCCACGAGTACTCCCCTTTCTCCTCCTCAATGCGCGCCCTCGCTTGCGCTCGCTGTCCAAACCAGAAATCGCGCTCGCGAGTCACTCTTCCTATCTCCTTAACACGCCACGGTTGTAGGAAATCCGGTACCCACAAAGGAATCTTTTCAAGAAATGGGAGTTTGTTCTGGATTGCTTCCGGCGAGATAACTTCTAGCAACCCGAGCGACGTCGACACCGTCGCTTTTGCCACCTCGGGGCTTGTGCGATCCCATGCTATCGTCGACGATATCCCTCCACAACACCTCTCCAGCAGAGTTCCGAAATTCAACGGATCCTCGAGGAGTTTCAGGACGAAAATTTTGGTTTGTTCGGAGGCCACTTTGCTCAAGTGCGCTCTCGGCAGGCTAGACGTGAGTTTCCTCGTAAAATTCTTTATGCGCTTCTGATCCGCTGCAATGAGATCGAGATCAGTTATGCTACTGTAAATTAAAAATCCATTCCGAAAACGTACCGCAGTTTGTCATCAGAGGCAGATAATGCCCATCAGTCGCACAGTCACCCCAAATGGCAGGAAAGTGTACTCTTCCAGAATATTTCGCCGCGCGTTTGACCAGCAAGTCCTCGGCAACCTTAGGAGATGCGACCAAGACGCAGGTGTCGGGCCCCAGCTGCACTTGGCATATCGGTCCGTATTGCTTGGTCCAGGCGTAAAATTGAAGCCATGAGTGTTTTGCGGGGAGATCGGGGACGGAGCCGAGAATTGGAATTCCTGAAGAGCGGTTAACTTGAGTTGGAAACTATCGAAGCAAGGAGAAGCGAACCTTTGGGCCCGGGAAGTCTCTTGACCCCCGGAGGGAGTTTTGGTTTTCGAAAGAGCAGAAATATCAAGAGAACTGCTACTACAGCGATGCCCAGTACCGCAGGGCTGAATGATAGTAGAAGTGCCATTTTCTCAAACCTTCGCACACGGTAACCGGGATTGGGAGGAACACCTGGTATATGAGAAGGAAAGAAAAATCCGAATCTCACCGGATATCCCTATAAGATCACCGCTATAAGTAAAATCTCATTGTGTCACCAGAAATCCCGCACCGCTCTCATTACGGAGTTTGCACATCGGGATCCCCACCAAAACTCTGTACGCAGTATCGCCGCAGATCCGCCGGGCTGAGAGACATGCGCGCCCATTAATCGCGCATCCGTAGTACAAACACCACGGACGCCCGTCTCGGGCGTCCGTGTCGCTACGCACCACTGAGCAGTGTGTGTGACTCCGTACATGCTACGGAGGACGCAGTGTACACGCCTTCGCCTATCATATGAGTCGCCTCGCTTCCGGAACTCCCCAAATACAGTACGCGAGCTTGGCATGTACACGGGCCACAAAACAATACCAAGATTATAATTTGAGATATATAAAATCCCGGCTGCTTATATAATTAAACTAAGTTATAAAATTAAGAGTTAGTCTAATTAATATTATAATACTAATATAGTGCTTTTAAGAAAAATATTATATATATAGCTTTTATAAAAGAAATATTAAATTACTTTAATTAATATTTATAATATATATAAAGTAATATATAATTAGAAGGCATATAATAAACCTCGAATATTGCGGATATTAATTAGAAACATTAATAGCTTTTTAATACTATAATTATATTATAAATATAATATTTAGGGCTTAAAAAGTAAATAAAAGATTTTTTATAATATTAAATATTTTTTTACAAAAAATTATTATATTAATTATATAAGATATATAATAATAAAACAATAAAATAATATATAAGTAATATTTATAAATATAACTAATTTTAATAAAAAACTAATTAATATTTCTTTATATATTTTCTAATATTTAATTAAATATATAAAGTTCTTTATTTAATTAGAAAATATAATCTTATATAATTTATATAATTATAATATAAGCTTTATCTAAAATAGAAAACTAGATTTATAATATCTAATACTTATTTATATATTATTATATATTTATTATAAGCTAATTTTAAATATTTATTTTCTAATATTAAGTTACTAATTTTATATTTATAAAATAAGTTTAATATAAATATTTAAAGCTATAATATAAAAATTAATAATTAATAATTATTACGTAGTACTAGTCACGTGGTGCCACTGCACGTGACTTAGTATATAGCCAGTACTTTTAGCCGGGTATATAGCTTATAGCTCAATTCAAGCTCTTTACTATTACTATAATAATTACCTTATTATAATAAAAATTAAAAATAAAGTTATTAAAGCTAAAATTAAATAAATTAAAAATAAATTATATATTAATTAAATAAATTATTATATAAACTATAATTTAAACTATAATCTAAAAAATTTAATTATAATTTAGTTTTATAATAAGTTAAATCCCGATTTATATACTTGGCTAAAAGCCTATATTAGGTTATATAATAAAGGCCAAAGCCTTTATTATATAATATATCTTTTTGAATTAATAAAGTAATTATATATTATTTAAGAAATTCAAATACTTTAAAAAATATAGTTTTATTTCTATAATAAATATATATAATAATATATAAATAAGTATTAGATATTATAAATCTAGTTTTCTATTTTAGGTAAAGCTTATAATTAGAATTATACGGATTATATTAGCTCGTATTTTCTAGTTAAATAAAAGGCTTTATATACTTAGCTAAGTACTAGGGAATATATAGGGAAATACTTCTAGCTTTAGAAAGAAGTATTAATTAGTCTTTTATTAGAATTAATTCTTAGAATTAGTTATACTTATAAGTATTACTTATATATTACCCTACTATTATATGTCTTATATTCTAATTAATCTAATCTTTAGGAAGTAGTTTATTATAAGGTAATTAAGCTATTAATAGACAAAATATTAATAACTAGAGTATTAACTAGAAGAAGTGCTTTTGCTATTACTAAGGTAACCTAACCGGGTATTTAGGGAAGTATCTAGTCAAGTACTCTTTATATTACCTAATTAGGAGAAGGAAGTAGAACTCAGATATTTCTAGAACTAGCTAGTAGAATAATAATAACGGAGAAATTAGTAGCGGCTTACTATTATATTACTAAATTAGAAATAGAAATATAATAGAAAGAAGATCTAGAGAAACTAGAAGCTCAAATCTATTATCTTAAAGATATTCGGATATCCGGTATAGAACCTATTATATTCCCGATAATACTCTTAGTTTAGAGGGCTTTAAAAACCCGAGAACTACCTACTTACCGGGAAAAGAGTATTAAAAAAGCCCAGAACTTCTTTTATTAGGCAAAGTTAAAGTAATATAAAAATAATAGAATTATCTAGGCTACTAATATAATAAAGATTATATATTATACTTCCTATTTTAAGGATATAGCCAGGAATATCTAGAAGTATAAGAAGTAATTAGTAAATATTAATATTATAAATTAGGAAACCTTTATTAAGTTTATAAAGAATTCTATCTTAGATCCGGAAAACTATAATAATAATACTCTTACTAAGTTTAAGAATACTAAATAATAGCCAGACTAGAATATCTAAAGCTTTATATCTTATTTAAATAGCTTATTAGATAACTTAGAATATATGAGTTTATTATAAAAGTAGGATAATTTATTTAGTAGCTTGAGGTAAAAGATCCGGAATAAGATTAATTATTAAGGGAATATTTTATAAGAGAGAAAGAAGCTTATTTTTATTATTACAAGAATTAAGAATAATTTAAATCTATTTATTTAATAGAAATATAATAATAAGCTAATAGGATTATAAAAGAAAGAAAATAGAAGAAAAGAAAAAGAAGATAATAAAGAGAAATAGAAGAGAAATATATTCCTATTATAAGATTTATAAAACCGAAATAATAAAAATATAGTAATAGAATCTAATATAGTACTTATATTAGAAGCTATAAAACCAGGTATAATTTGCTTTATTTACTAGAAAAAGAATTATTATACTATTACTTACCCTAATTAAGGAAAACCGACTTACTATAACTATAATAAGTCTAGCTATAAGTTATATAAATACCTAGAACTAAAGAAGCTAGGAAATAGGCGCGCCTTATAATAGTTATACTCGTTTATATTATAGAGAGCAAGGCTCCTAAAACGAGAATAGTAATTAAGGTTATTATTAAGATAAGGAAAAGTAGCTAAAGAATTAAAGTATTAGTAAATTCGGGTATAGAGGCTAATTATATAAAAAAGAAGTTAGCTTTAAATATAGGTATTTTATTAATATTAAGAGTAACTTTCTTTATTTTTACTAAAGAAAAGAAAGATCTATTTATATAAAGATTATATTCTTAGAATTATTACTAAGGATATACTAGAGAACTAAAAAAAGACTAATATATACTTTATATTATATAATTTTAATCTAAACTATATTAATATAATACTTGGATTCCTATAGCTTTACTAGATTAATTCTCTAATTTCTTTTAGGAAAGTAATATAGAAATACTAGATTTAATTATAGAAAATTAAAGTTCTAAATACTAGGAAGTTTACTAAAGTAATAAAATATAAGATATATGTTTTTCTATTAATTACTTATCTTATAATAAATAGCCAAAAAATTATTATTATTATTACTAATAAGATAGTTATATTTCCTAAGAAATATTAGAACCTTTTCTAAGTATTTTTTATAAAAGCCATAGGTATATTACCCGACTATTATATAATAAAATATTATATAAATCTAAAACTAGGATCCTAATTACTATATAGTTCTATATATACTTTATTAAAAAGAAAGCTTAAAGTTTTTCGGGAATATCTTAATATTAGCCTAGAAAAGAAATAGATCTATTATTTTACTAGCCTAGCTAATATTCTAATTATATTTATTTTAATAAAAAAGGCAGTTTATATCTATATATTAATTACCGGAATCTAAATAAGATTACTATTAAGAACTAAATACTATTATTATTTATTAGTAAGACTATAAATAGGCTTTATAAAATAAAGATATATATAAAGCTAGATTTAAAGAATACTTATTATTAATTATAAATATAAGAAAGTAATAAGTAAAAAATAATATTCCGAATATATTATAAATATTTCAAATATTATATTATATTCTTTAAACTATCTAATACTTTAATAATATTTCAGGTATATATTAATTATATACTAGTAAGCCTTATAAATATTATTTATATAATCTATCTAGATAATATTTTAATTTATTTAGAGAACCCAGAATAATATATAGTAGTAGTCTAATATATACTCGAGTAATTATAATAATACTAGCTCTTTATAAACTTAATAAAGTACGAGTTTAATATAGAGAAAATAAAATTTCTAGAATTTATAATTAGCCCAGATAATATAGAAATAGAAGCTAGCTAGATTATAGCTATTAGGAAATAGCTAGCCCTAAAAAATAATATTTAAGAAGTTTAAGTATTCCTGAATTTTACTAACTTTTACTAGAGGTTTATTTATAAATACTCTAGGATAATAAAAGAATTAACTAATTTATTAAAAACTAGTAGAAACCTATAATATTATTTTAGCTAGATAAATAAGGTAAATAAGGCTTTTAAGGAGCTATGAATTATATTTATAATAGTACTAATTCTTTATTATTTTAATCTAGTTTTAAAAATCTATATAGAAATAGATATTTTAGGATTTATAATTATAGGTATAATTTCCTAGCTCTTTAGTAAGGAAATAGAAGCCAGGTAGTACCTTATTATCTTTTATTTAAAGAAAATAACTATAATTAAGAATAAATATAAGATATATAATTCAGAACTCTTAGCTATTATTCTAGTATTTTATATTTAATAGTATTACCTAGTATATATTTAATATACTATTATTATTAAGATAAATTATAATAACTTGAAATACTTTATAACTAAAAGAAAACTAAATAATTAATAAATAAGATAAATAAAGAAGCTAGTTATTTTTAACTTTGTTTTAAAGTATTAGCCAGGATATAATAACTCTACTAATAGACTATTAAGAAAGCCAGACTTTATAGTAAGTATAAATAAAGATACTTTATTACTTATATTTTATAATAAGCTATAGAATATAGAATAGAGAGCCCTATAAGTAATAGTAATAGAATACTATACTATTCCTATAATACCGTAATATAAGGCCTAGGAAAGAGGAAATAGGTATTCCTTAATTAGTAAAATACTAAGGAATTCTAAAAAGAAAATCTATTTTAGTAATAGAATAATACTAGAAATACTATTACTTAAGCCTATTACT